ACGAAAGACTTATTTCTAGAGGCTGTTTGGCTCAAGTTCACTGCGACCAGTTTGACCTATCTAATCCTCCAAAGGCGGTTCACATCCAGAGTTTTAGTTATTAAGCATGCAGACTAAGCGACATACAGCTGAAAGCATTTTCGTAGAAAATGTCTGGATTCTTCGTCTTTCATGATTTTAACTCTCAGGCTAACCGTGAGGAGATGCGTTTCATGTCAATTGCTCGCCAGTAGTCTGGAAACGATTCTTCAAGTGTTTCGACTACAGATGTGTAAATCAATCGCTTGACAACCTCCCTTTCTAGCCTGTTTATTAGGTATGTCATACAGTGAAACAGTATCATTCGCCGAATAGCGTTTCGAAGTAATTTGTTGTCCATATTCGTGATATGGATATGATGATATGAATATGGATAATGAGTTTATTACAAAATACTACCTAGTAAATGCTATTGTTTGACCATATGAGCCTTTCAAAAGACAGACTAAAATGGAGTTATAATCTACCACAACACCCAAGCTTAACAGCCTTACACAACCTAACATTTGAACCTGAGTCTATTCTACCTCGCTTTACCAGAATAAGGATCATTTAGACAGCACCAGAAGGCATTGCACTGACTTAGTTACAAGAACAAGGTACAAATCAAATGAAGGACGCAAAACAGCACCTGGCCTATACGCTTGAAAATACAGATGAGCTAGAAGGGACCTAATGATAATGTGAAGCTTCTTAAATTGAACGGATCACACCCTTCAAGCTTATTTACTGCGAATTCCAGCACTATATATTTGCTTGTTTAAGCTAGAGCAATATTGAAAATAATAAGTTAGCTCTATTTTGGTTTCAAGGTCGTGCTGCAAGTAGGCCACTGACGAATGAAGCGGTCTGTAGACGTACGTATGTTTGAAAAACCTAACCTTTCAGATGAAATTAAGGAATCTAATTGTTTATTAACCGGTTACCAGGTTGACCGTTTAGTGTCACTCTGTTAATAAAACTTATCTTCCCATAAGTACTTTCCTCATTCCCCACTCACCCTATTTGTAGTACTTCTTAAGTAACATTTAATGCTTACTTGCAGGTACTTGCAAAAACAGGTATTGAAAGAAAGTAATCGATCTGATCAGCAACCCTGTTGCTTACCAAACAAACCAAGCTACTATTTGCAAGGAAAAATACCTTCAAATAAACAGTCACTACTTCCAAATCTTTAAGCAGGAAAACCGTCAAGACCTCTGTAATCACCGGAGGAGTATAACCGAGCGAAAAGCACCGGGCCTCAAGACCTGAAAGCGAGAGCTAAAAAACTGAGAGTTTCCGCCACTCGCGCTAATGATGTTGGATAAGTGACGTTTTAAGTGGAGTTTAAACTCCACTTTAGAGGTCTCTCGAATTACGGTGCTTTGAAAACTCTGTGTTATAGGATGTCGTCGTTACATACAGTTTAACGATAATGACTTAGTAGACTGACGCGTTGGTATAAACTAGTTAAAAAACAGTGTTTTCATATATATATATATATATATATATATATATATATATATATATATATATATTTATGGCAAAACCTGAAGGTTTACTTCCGGCCAAAATGATGAGATTCATGATATCCCTCTAAATTTATAAACCTTTTTCCCGCAACTTCCAAAAGTCGCAAAGTGTTAGTAAATACCCGAAATTCGGTAAGTGCGCCCGAAGCAGGTTTGGGCTAGAACCCAAAGTTTAGGAAGTACCCTCGAAGTGAGCTCTGGCTGGGATGGACCTGCTTGCCGTCGTCTGTAGGTAATTGGATTGACTAACAAAACACCTCGGAGAAAAAGATTGTGAAACCTCTTCACCACAATGGATGTTTATCAGTTCAGAATCAGATATTGTGAGGCCAAAGATTCTCAAGAAGGCCTGATAAGAAAGCCTAAGTTGATTTGTGGGGAGAAGCCCTTCAAGATTCCCACTAGGCTTACAAGATTATGCTCTTACATTACCAGAGGGACTAAGGGAACGAGGGCGTCTCACCCTTGTGTTACACGACGATTCGGTGCAAATAATTGGGAATTGTGCTATTAAGGCTAAAGCTTCATTACAGTAATCCAGTAAAGTATCCCCTGAGTGGTGTGTTTGGCACTATGAAGGTGTTTCATTATTAACATTTTCACGAATGGAGCTATTGACCATTGAAAAGGATATCATCTTGATCTGGATAAGTTCTGAGGTCTAGATGAGCTACTTCTCTAAATACCAGCACTAATGGACATAATCTCAACCTCTGCCTTCGCTGTTTAATATCTCAATAAATCGATTAAAACCACTCAGAAGTCGTAAGGATGTCATCGTCAATTTAGTATATAAAGCTGGTCATGGACATCTGGTGGCTAAATATTACCTGTTTAGCCTAACTAGCTTAGTGGTTACGATTTTAGAAAAGATCACGCGCAATACTATTCCATTGAATATCTAAGGAAATAGACTTTTAGCTATGGGACAGAATGAATTTAAGGTTCACCACTCATGTCTAATAAATATGAATTGCAAAAGGCCATCGGCCTGCTACCGCCTGCATGAATGTTCTAATTGGAGATGTATTCATTGACTTCAGCAAAGCTTTTGATAAGGGCTATATAAAGTTTGGAAGGAGGAGTCGTGAAGCTTTCGGATCTATGATGTGGTTAAGAGCCGAATTAGAAATTTGCTTTGTGATAAAAGGCAAGGAGTAAGGGTAGATGGAGTTTTTATCCGAAGAGACCATTAGTGAGTGGAGTACCTCAAAGTTCTGTCTTAGGTTCACTTCTCTTACTAATTTACGTAAATAAGTTGCCGAAGACAGCTACTTCTTCCATTCTCGTGTTGGAGGGTGATTTTGAATTCTGAAGACAGTGACAGAAGTAGACTGCTCCGACGGAAAGACCCAAACGCTCTAGTAGATATTGGTCCACGAGATGGTGCCCGGGAAGTAATGTTAACGAGAGCATAGTTATATGCACAGGTCACAACGATCCGCATTCCTACTATATTAACCACATGAGTAGCTGAACCCAAAGACAGACATCCTAGTTAGTCATCACCTTAGAACATCGGCAAACTGTAGAGTTGCAACTGTCAAAGTGTTTCAAATTTTTTAGTCTTTATGAAAGGCTTTTCAAAGCTTTGAAGAAGAAGTTTCGGATCTTATATCCGATATATGTAAGACCCCACTTGGAGTATGGGATTTTAACAGCGACCCCGTTTCACTTTTGAAGCTAACATTATGGTGGGTCCAGAGGATAAAGGGTAAGATAGCTAAAGGGCTCCTCAGTGTCTTGCGCTGCTAGGTTATAGATTGTCTTTTTTCACTACCTTGTAGCAAAATGAGCGGGTGAATAATAGTTTTGCTTTCTTATTCCTTCCCTCCCGGCTGTTCACCTTAGTGGATATCATCAGAAAGTCCGTAAACCACTTTAAAACCGTTTATGTCGGAAAATACGTTTTTGGACAGAGCTGTGGGCCACTGTAGTGGCAGAATTGTAAGCTCTTGCCGTCCATGAAGAAGATAATCAGAATCGTGATTCTCATGCCGATTTAACACAAGCCAACTTACCTTGAGTTTGGAATCTGTCTTAAATAGTTTAACGCTAAACTTTAACTCACTTTTAGTGGAATAAGAATGGGTTTTTTCAAGATTCTTATAATTTTGGTTGATCTGCTAGTTTAGCAACGATCTTGAATATATTGTCTACACAGATCCAACTGCTTCACACACTGTTGTACAACCGAAAGGGTGCCAAAAATCATGAAGGCAGATATTATTGAGTTAGAAGTATCAACGGTTTTCTCGTATAGCTGGAACGTCTGTGGCAGGTTTGTATATTTTGTTTTATAATGGTGAGGTATGTGTTAACGACAATTCATTTTAAGGTGCAAATATGTAACTGCGAATAATCTCTTATACTTCCAAAGCGACATTTTGACTTAACCTTGAGTTTCCCAATCTTTATTGTTGAGTTGCGTGGTACTACATCACTGCATAGTGAGCAACCATTATCCAGGTTGCACACAGAATATATTTTTAACAAAGCAGAAAAAAATGAGTGTGCTCTTCGTGTCATGCGCTCTAGTAAATCTGCGAAATTGATAATATGGATTGTAATTTAACTTCCTTATTCTATGCCTATCGCTTTCTAGTTGTCAGGATTACTGATGCAGAACAAACAGAAGTTCGTATAGTGAAGTCGGAATATTTCTGCCTTAAATATAGACGTAATAAAACTTCTGTATTTACTGTGGTGACTGTCTAGTGTTTGTAACATTTCGCTGAAGCTGTATCTGTTTCGTTCAGTATGTTACTTATTTATTCAGTTTATAAATGGCACCAGACTTTTGATGACACATCAAAAATTCCCTATCAGATTGTTTATGATATAGCACACAGTGATACAGCATTATACTGTGCAGTATGTCAAGTGAACAGTCTACTGTGGGATTATACTCTGCTACATTGCTCAAGTTTTACTCATTATATTAAAAATGCCTGGTCGAGTATTCATCATTCAGGTTACTTATTCGACAAAAAGAACAAATTGAGTGATTTCAGATTCCACCTGTACATATGAAAGTCTTTCTTAGTAACATTTAATTCTTTGCCTTATCTTCATCACATCAATTTTCTGGTTATTCGTATTGTTGTATAGAAGTGTTGTCTTATGACAAAATTCGTTGTTAAAAAAGACAAAACATGTAGTAAAAACTAGGTGTTTAAAACAATAGATAAACGTAAACAGTACACTCAGTGCATGCACTAAAGATTAGTTTTCAAGAATGGTAAGTATAAATTTGAAGATGAATTCTTTCAGATTTGACTAAGTATTTCGAAAATTATTACTGTTTCCTCAAATAAATTTTGTTTTCACCCACAGGATATAATTCTGATGACTGTATGATGAGAACTAAACATAGGTTTCTGCTTTTGTATACCAGTTATTGATCAACATACCACTACTTCTCTGCTTAGCCTTCACTTTTAAACCATGGGTAAGTATTCGCTCTAACCGTAGCTTTTCTCTTTTAAAAACATAATTCCTTCAATATACTGACATTGTATTTCTAGGACAGTAGTCTGAAAGACAGAATAATGATGTGTTGATTTCACTTTATGAATATCTTGGATTTTGCAGTGCCGATAGGATATGAGTATGAGGTGCTTTTTTGCGGCTTAGTAATATTTATTTTGTTTCATTAGCTTTTGCCTACCCTATAGCTGCTATATTGGCATGGTAGTTGGGCTTGTGCATCATAATGACCCTATGAGCTGCGCTGGTGAAACGTTTGTTACCTCGAGGTCCTACTGTACCAGAAAGGTCTGTCGGATAGTGACTAGACAAGAGCAGTTACCTTTACCCTCAGTATGTTATTTAACAACGGAATGGTGCATTATGATGCCTTAGTTCAGTCATCAGTAGTTAGTGGTGATCCAAAACCATAGGACTATGTCAGACCACACCTTCCATAATACAGGCCAATTTTCGTGGCATCAAAAAGATCGTACGTGACTGGCCTCTAGCGAATCTCCTCTGGGCTCTGCGATCACATAGTAACCTTTCTTTTTCATGTACCTCAAGAAGACCTAACCTTCCACAGTGTGGGCAGTCGGGAAGTGTCACCCGCCTTCACAACTCTGTTAGCACTCAGGTTCCCTCAAACCACTATCCACCTCTGATCCTTATCTTCTAATCTTCCTACATATCTGCCAGTTAACAATCCTATACTATCTTTAATTCCTTCTGGCTCTGCAGCTTTCGACAACGATCTAAGTTCACAGAACAACAACATTAGTTTCCTTAAACCATGCTCCAAATTACACACTGGAGCCTCCAATGTCCACACCCTCCGTCAAATTGGCTAGTAAGCCTCATTGGCCAAAACTCTAGCAACTGGGACCATGGATGTGTGCTATGTTTATGAGACACGTATACAGGGCCCAAGTGCGGTTATTCGCCCAATCTATCCCGGTCAATACGGCGGATTCGCAAAGTTCACACTTCGAGTTTCTGGAGATTCGATGGTTAGGTCTCGCGGTCCTGCAGGTGTAGGCATAGCATTATGCACTGGGGCAGAAAACTCACTACTAGACTGGATCCCAGTTGACAGTCGCCTATGCGCTTCCCGGCTGAACGGCACAATTAGAATTAGAAGGAATGGTGAAACTCGCCGTTTTCTCTTCGTAATCTGTGCTTACGCGCCCACTGACTACAGTTTGGATGAAGTGAAGGATGAGTTCTACCGAAAACGGTCAAGCCTCCTTCTGAAAGCCAGACGTTCAGACGTGATTGTTGTTGCAAGTGATTTCAATTTGTAAGTGGGTAGGCTGAGTCAGGCAGAAAGGGACTTACCTTAGGTGGCACTTTCAGAATCCCAACTGAACGAGCAGATGACAGCGATCGCATACTACAACTTTGATCAGATAACTGTTTATTTTTAGTTAGCACAAACTTCAAACATGAAGAAAGACATTACCAGACATGTCGTCGACCGAACTCAACTCAGCAATAGACACAGATAGACGACATTGCTATCGGCAATTGCTGGAGAGGGTCGGTGGAAGACTGCCACTCCTTTTTGAGCACGTGTTTGGATAGGTAGCACGCACTGGTTCGAGCACCCATGTGTCTGTTTTAGCTTTTTTTCTACAACTAGAATGCATACGTGTTGATCGAAAAACGGGCTTCAGTATAGATGCTAGTGGGGCTTTAATGTCATATATCGTGTTCCAAAAACAGTACCAAGTGTAGCTCTCCAATGCCTACTCAACATATTTTAGGTTGTCGCAATAAGAGTGATCGAACCTAAACTTTACATTCACGAAGGACGTGTTCAAGCGTTATTCTTCCCTTGGCCTTCAACAAACTGAAGACTACTCTCGTCTTCCTTATTTGTTATCTTTTCTTTTATCACCACATTTTTCATGTGTAAATAAGTCATTCTTACATTGATTCCCCCATAATCCCAAAGTTACATTGCACTTTGAATATGTATTTGCCTCAAACTTGGCGTGTTTTTACTCTGTACAATTCCATTTTGTACTTGTAAAACCTGATGAGCATTTATTGAAAGTAATATTCTTTGTTTAAATTGTTTTTATATAGTGTTATGGGAATCTTCGAGTGTTAAAAATCCTACAATACTGTAGCTTAGCTAAAGTAGGATTACAGGTTACAGACAGTTTTCTATCCATATTGCGGATGCTCCTCCACCGTAACAATAGGAGAAAGTTTCGAAGATTGTAGTCTTCAGTGTATGCACTGCTCTTACCTAAGGTGTTGCGTTATTCTCTATATGTTCTTTATTATCTAATGAAGTAAACAATGGTGACTAAAGCACTTATGGCTAACCAATAAACAAAATGTTTTGTTACTGATAATCTTAGTTCATTTCAATTCAAAAGCTACGAAAACTGGTCCCGAGATCACATGCTGTTAACTAAGATGTGTCATCAGTTTGTTTGACTTCAACTTGACTCAGAGACCATTCAACCCTCTAGTTTCGCTTGTTCTTCATTTACACGGAACGTTTGCCACCTTACAGGAACTGCAGAGTGGTAAACTGTTGATCACCCTTAAATGTATATCGATGTAAATCCTTTTTGCAGAATAGTTCTCAAGCTTCCTCGTTTATTCACTACCACTTACTTACCTGTAAGAAAGTTGTTGATTCATCAAGTTTGCCTATTCGTTCAACTGGTGTTAATGATGTAAGCCTATCAGATAGGGTTATAGATCAGCTTACACTGTTTTCACCAATGCACACGTGTTTTCTTACTTGTACATTATGTCTAACTAGACCGAAATTTCAGGATTGTTGACCATATGAACCTTTTGGCACTATCGTAGTTTGGCTGGGCATCTCTCACGACTTCCACTTTCTTGACTTTTGGAGGTTGTTTAACGAGTGTTATTTCGCATATTGAGTGTGCGAATAGTATCGCGTTAGCTTACTTAGTTGGTAGACACATTTAAGTTCCTCAGTTGAAATGCACTCCCAGTTTCTGTCTATTCTTCACCTATACATGCTATACTCGCAGCCTAAAATACTTAGTTTCACTGTGAACTGTTGTTTAACTGCAATAACAGAGTCCATTCATATATTCACTGTGGCTGACGTGTTAGTTGGAAAGGTAGAGTATGTTAACTTCAGTACTTTATATGGACGTTTCTGGCAAACTGATTGCACGACCAGCGACTACATCGGCATTCAATTAACAGCCTTCTTTTCGGCATCACAATTTAAAAAACTGGAATCTGGTATCCAATGTTGACATCCTTACAATAAGTGAAGGTTGGACGGACTACTGAAAACTAAGTATTGAAGAGGGTTTGATCAGAACTGTTTGTTTTGAATTCTTCGTTTGACTTTTGGTCATACTCTCCCCAGTGCATTTCTATGTCTGCCTCTTAAAATGGCTACAGAACAAAGTGGTTTGGTAGCAAGTGTATCCCACCGAAGAACAGTAATTATTATTTGCTGATACTTGTAATCCTCCGTTGTCATACTGGATCGAATCGGTCGACTTCTGTTGGTATATGGGCTCCTATGTGGAGGCCTCGATATTGCCTGAATATTTATTGTTTTAATTGACTTGATTGTGTCTAGCAGTGAAACCGAGAGGGCGCGTTTCGTCATATTTGGCGCTCGTCAGCTGGATGCACCTAGACCCTATTGATAGATATTGTTCCCCCAGGAATGCGAGTGGATCCAGCTGACTGCCCAGACCTCAGCAGTACGAGCTGGGTTCGAACTCGTAATCCATTAGTTGGGAGTCAACTACCTAAACTGCTGAGCCACAGTTTCACCCATCTAGTTGTAACTGCTTAGTTAATGAGTTCTGTACTACCCATGTGGCTCAGTGACTAACGAATAAGATTATGATTTTAAATAAGGCATAAATTAATCATACGGAGTAGAATTTAAAGTATGGAACAAGTTTTCACTTGGTTGCTAGTGTGAAAGTGTGATAACAAGAATGGACAATTTCTCTAAGTGCTAGATTTTTAACACTACTTAGGAAAAACGAGACGGAAATGTGTAGGAATGGATTATGAATCATCTTCAGCTAGTCTATATCTACTGAGTAGGCTTTTGAACTATGTTGACAGCTGTAAAAACCATCTTAGATTCTTTGAAAAAAAGCTGAATTCGGTTTGTTAAGGTAAATGTCAGTGGCGTGCACTACTACTTTAAGGGTTGAATTCATGAAAGCTTGATTATATCGGAGTGATGTAAAGGAGGTGTGCATGTCTAGAACGCGTTTGTCTTTCAAATAATCACAACACAGACGCTTATTTGCTCTCCCAGTATGTAGCTTTATAAAAGTAGTTTAACTAATTGATGTGTATAAGTGGTAAGATTAGGCAATCTCTTTTTTAAAGCTCACTATCTGTAAGCTAAAGAATGATGAATATCACCTTGGGGTAATATAAATTTTCTTCAGTCAATTCAACATTATCATCTCTGAACTTATTTCAAGAACGATATTTTAATATGAATTGTCATCAATTTCTTGTTCATACTTTACTGTAAAACTCAAGCGTAAATAGTATTAAGCTCTTCATGTCTAAAGCAGTGCCACAGTAACCCTACTCAGTTGTGTAGTGAGAACAATTAAGATGGAATTCATTTCATATTTAATGATGTATAGTGATAGGATGTAACTTAAAACGAACTAGTGGTGAACTTGATCTTCAATAAGCTTGTAAAGATGTTCATAAGTCAATGGTTGTCAAGGAATCCATTGAAACGGAGGAGCATTTTGTTGTTATCAACTGATTGTGTCTTTCATATTTACTTTACTTAACAGTTTTCAAATATTATTTGTTGAAGACAGAAAAGTGTAAAAATAATTCAAAAATTTGAATTACTTAGTCCCTGTTATGAATTTAGATAACGTAGTTAGAAGATATGGATTAAATGAGAAATATAGTGTACTAGCGCTATACACCTCGAAAAATCTTGTTAGGGCATTTTACATGAAAACTGGAAGTGAGAAAGAGATAAATATAACACAAAAGAGTTTAATAATTAAAAGATAATGAAGAGAGAATGACAGAATTCGAAGACAACCTTGGTAATATGATAAAATAAGAATTACCAGGGTAGGCTTAGTGTAAAGACAAACTGTTTTTAAATACAAAACGGAGGCTTGAATTTGTGTATGGCTAGGGCTTCAACAAACCCAAGTATACCTCCCTGATAAAGACTGTAAAGACTGTTTTAACATCAGTCCTGTGGTCTCCATCAATAATACCTTTTACAATGGTAGATGATGGTTGTCTGTCACCTGCGCTTATCGATGTTAGTGAATCTAGCTACTTTTGTAGCCGTTTTGGTATATGTTCCCTCACCCTAAAGTGCATATCTCCATTAGCCCTCCCTACGTATGTGTCCACACACACACACACACACACACACACACACACACACACACACACACAACTTTATAAGCGCAGTGCAATGTGACGCTATCGTTTATATAGTGTTGAAGTCTGTGTTGCAGGATGTGTTTGGTCTTCTCAACTACGCTACGCCTAGGTGTATAGTATGTTCTGATAATGGCAGACCTTAACCGTCGTTTTAATATTACGCTATTATATGTCACGTTACCATGCAGGAGAGAATCTAATAACGTGGTCTTAAAACGAAGGTTAAAGTCTACCATTACCAAAACACACTATGCAGCTACACTTAACGTAGTTGAGAAGACCAAACACATGCTACAACATAGACTTCAACACTATATAAACGATAGCGTCACATCCTACTGCACTTATAAAGTTGCACGTGTGTGTGTGTGGAAACACATTATTATTATTATCATCATTTTCTTTGTCCCTTGGGTTCCTAGTGGAACATAGGGCTTCCACTAGCACGTCTCCACTGCGCTCTGTTTTCTGCAGTCTTTTGGACCTGGATCCACGACTGCCCACAAGCTTTCACTTCTTCCCCACACCATCTCGTCCATGTCAACCTCGGATGTCCAACTCGTCATTTCCCATTTGACTTCCACATGACGGCCTGACCTGGCACGTGATGTCCCCAAAAGGTCTTCTCAGTGTATGTCCAATCCAATCTATCTCCACTTTCTTCTGCATATTCGCTGGGCGATAGGTTCTTGGTCGGTTGGTTCGTTGCCAGGCCAGAGTTCCTCCCTGCTTATTCTTATTATTCTGGCCATCTGATCTGATCTTCAATATCGAGTGAGCGTAGGCGACAGCCGTTGATGTGATGTATGTCTGCGGTTTGTTGGAAATGCTTTTCGTGACGCGTTAAGTCTCTCAACCGTCACATAGAAGCACTGATTTATTTGACTGGCTTAGTGTTAAAAATCCGGATCTTGTTCACGCTTTATGCTGAATGCATTGCAGTAGATCTCCATACTCATTTCAGGTTAATGAAGGCCTGTTTTACTATCTTTCCAATCCTGGCCTTCACATCCTCATCTGTGCCGTCTGTAGTTGAAACGATGCTGCCTGCCTAGGTAGGTGGAAGAAACTACTTCCTTTTGGTTTCTCCCGTCGATGGTGATTGATGCTTGTTGTTGATGTTGTTGTTCGTTGGGTATCTTCATCACCTCTGTCTCCTCTACATTCACTTGAAGTCCCGTCTTCGCTGCCCTGCCCTGCTTCTTCTGTCAACTTGTTAGTTTTCGCCTGTAGATCTTCGAGTTTGTTCGACACCAGACATAAATCATCATCGGCGAAGTCCAAATCTTCCAGGCTCTTTTAATCGGTCCAGCGTATGCCCATCTTCTCGCTTCTCACTGTTCGCTATATGATCCAGTCCACCGCAATCAGGAAGATCATCGTTGATAGTAGGCAACCTTGTCTTACTCCTGTTTCCACTTCAAAGGCATCACTGAGCTTTCCACTGTGAATCACTTGGCATGCGGTGTCGTCATATAGTTGTTGAATGAGGTTGATAAAGGTTTGTGATATTCCATGGTGTTGAAGTAGCTGTCAGCCAAATTACTTCTCGGTCGACGATGTCAAAGGCCTTTTCAAAGTTGATAAAGTTGAGGTAGAGGGTTGACTGCCATTCTATACTCTGTTCTATGATGATGCGTGGCATAGCGTTGCAATTTGATGCACACATGATTTGTTCTTCCTGAAGCCAGCCAGAGCAACTTTAATCTCTTCAGTATGATGCGGCATAATATTTTGCTTGGGATGGACAGCATCGGAGCATGATTCCGCGCCAGTTATTTAAAAGACTTAGGTTTCCATTTTTTAGAAGTTTGACAGGGTAGGCCTTCTTTCACCCGGCAGGTACCTTTCCTTCCTTCCCTGCAAATTTTCTGTAGTAGTGGTGTGAGCATGTCTGCTGTTGTGTCTGCGTCTGTTTTCAGTGCTTCTGCCGGAGTTCCATCTGGTCTTGCTGCTTCTCCGGATTTCAGCAACTTTATGGCGTTCAGGACTTTACTTCTGCTCTTGTTGGAGGACTTGCGTTCACTGGTAATTCTGTGGCTGGACTGCTGGTGGTATTTCCGGACGAGTTGCAGGTGGTGGAGGCGGTCGATTCGAGAAATTTTTTTAAAGTGATTAGCTCATCGTTCCTTTTGTTTCTTCTCTCTCTTTGATGAGTTGGTTAACTTCGCTATCGTTCATTAGTTTCACCTGCGTTGATCTCTTGCCAGATAGTAACCTGGCTACTTGATATAGTACTGTCAGGTCCCTGTCTCGCTTACCTGCAGCCTGTTCTGCCTCAGTTGCAATTATGTCGTAGAAGTGTCTTATGTCCTTCCGTGCACTCTTCTTCACTTCTTTGTGCAGTGTTGTATAGGTTGTGTTCATTTTCTGTTTTCGATGTTCACCCCTGCACTGCAATGGTTCACCTCCTGCTTCACAATCTTCCTCTCCCTGCTGTATCAGCTTCCATGTATCTGTCAAGATTGATTCCTTGTCTTGCCACTTCTTCCTTCCTAACACGGTTATACAGGTTTCCTTCCACGTCTCTTTCAAAGAGTTCCAGTGTTCTTCCATACGGGTTTCTTCACGGATGCTGCTCAAGGTCCCCCATTTTGTCCTGATGGCTGATGTTTAGTTGTCCTTTGTAGTTTTGTCCTTCCGTTCAGTTTCTGAGTATTGAGCTTGAACTGTAGTCTATCACCAACTTCTTTGAAGGCTTTCAACTTGATTTTGAAGGTAGGTTCCTTGCACTAGTTAACCAGGCGAGGTTGGACATATATAGAGAGAGGGCTAATGGAGATATGCACTTTAGGGTGAGGGAACATATACCAAAACGGCTACAAAAGTAGCTAGATTCACTAACATCGATAAGCGCAGGTGACAGACAACCATCATCTACCATTGTAAAAGGTATTATTGATGGAGACCACAGGACTGATGTTAAAACAGTCTTTACAGTCTTTATCAGGGAGGTATACTTGGGTTTGTTGAAGCCCTAGCCATACACAAATTCAAGCCTCCGTTTTGTATTTAAAAACAGTTTGTCTTTACACTAAGCCTACCCTGGTAATTCTTATTTTATCATATTACCAAGGTTGTCTTCGAATTCTGTCATTCTCTCTTCATTATCTTTTAATTATTAAACTCTTTTGTGTTATATTTATCTCTTTCTCACTTCCAGTTTTCATGTAAAATGCCCTAACAAGATTTTTCGAGGTGTATAGCGCTAGTACACTATATTTCTCATTTAATCCATATCTTCTAATTACTTTGTGTAAAATAATTCAGGGCTATTGAATAAGGCCATATTATAAGCTTTTCGGTTTGTCTGCTGAAAAATTTGAGTAGTGAGAAACCAGTTGGGCTGATTTGTCGATTTTACCAACCATATCAGATTTATCTAAACACCGGTTACACCGCTGGTTCCGTGCAAATGAATCTGCTATCTGGTGTTCAGATCAATATGATTTGACTGGCGAAATCTACACATCTTGCTATAATAACTTGATAAGGTTTCGAAGTATGCTGTTGTTCTAAAGTAACTTTGTTATCTAAACCTCGTCAATGTAATTTCTTAGCAAAACTGTTCCTGTCTTTTACATTGGAGGAAGAGTTTCTTACTTTATGTCTGCTTATTATCAATGGTACAAAGGTGTTGTTTAAGAAGGTTAACTATCGTTGGCATGTAGAATGGAAATTGATAATTATACTCCGAATTGTCTACATAACGATGTAGCCTTTTTTTCATGTATTTTGTTTTATATTTCAATTTCAGGTGTTGTAAACAACACTTACGGATATACTGAACACTTGCAAAAGATATCTGATTCAATCCAACATTGGGAATCTACATTGAAATTTGTAATTAAATCATGTAAACGATTAGAAGAGAGCCGTAAAGAAGATATTCGGTTAGCTAATGTACAACCTTGTTTTTCATTACCAGTTCTTAACGAATTGATTGAAACACGATTAGATACTTCACGAAAAAGAACTATTGGTAAATATCAAGAGAAATCATTCGATGCTATAGATGAATTCAATAATTCAACAATCATTTATTATCCACCGTGAATACATTTCTCGAAAATGTTATAAATCATCAATTAGTAGTAAATTATCACTTTTCTAAAATTATGACCATTCAAAATATCTTGAATTTAGTAGACTCTTTTAAAATCTTATTAATGAATGAGTATGATGCTGTGAGATTGTATCATTTTAAACAAATTTTTATTGCTTCAAATAAATTTAATGATATAGTAAATAATTATTCTCCAGCTGATTATTCTCCTACAAAACTGGTATGGTGTAATGAGTTTGTTATCCAATTAAATGAATTGCTTGCATTTTTAATATAATAGACAGTTAGTTGTAAAATATACATTTTTGTTCTCTCCTAGCCTCAGTGGAAATTCCAATCTCTATAGTGAAACATAAAGTTACTTAAAGTATTTAACTGTGTAACGCCATTGTGGCGTGTTTGGAGATTTTTGAAAATACTGAACTGCTATAGCTATGTGCTAGTTAACTGTATTGAAATGAAGTTTAGATTTGTCAATTCTAACACTTGCTTTAATGCATATGAATAGTGTTTTTTGATTTTCGATGTTTCTATGTTTACACAAGTGACATCCCTGTGTTCTAAGCTCTAGTTAACGAACAAAACTAAAACTCTTCAGTTATCCTGTAGCATTTAGGCGAGTGATAACTTAAGCCATCACACAAATGTACAGTGCAACACCCTGACTACAGTCATAACTGAAAAACAAACAGACCCACAGTGGAGATTACAAGTACCGATAAATAATAATGATAACTGATTCCCGATGCACAAGGGAGTGGTTCTCATGCCATTATGGCTTAGTAGATAACACTTTGGCGTTTGAAGCGATGGTTACTAGGTTCGTATCCCCGTGGGAACACCATGACTCGCTGAAGTGCAGACACATCCAGCTGACGAGTTTCAAATAAGACGAAACGCACATCCTAGGTTTTACTACTTACCATCATCAAGAAAATTAAAATTTAGGCTGGTTATATCATGGATGAAATCAACAAAAGTCAACATTACTTATACTTATGTAGAAGGGCGTTATATTTATCTTCACCCCAGTGAGTGGTGCTTTTCCTACTGAGACTCAAAACCCACTACCTATCGATTCGAAACACCAAAGTGTTATCCACTGGGACATGAGGGTCACTACTTGTGCAACGGTTATCACTTTTTGTCTGGCACTTGTAATTTCCCGCTGCTATGTGGGGTCTAATTCCTCGAGTTCTTGACAGTTGGGTACATCTAGCTGGCGGGTCCCAAATGGGACGAAGCGGGTGTCTTGGATTCAAATACTAGTCACCAAGAGGAATGTAACATCATGAATATTCGGCAGTATCGAGGCGTCCGAATAAGACCCCATCTGTCAACAGAGATGGAGCAATTTGACCCTGAATAGTAACGGGGAATTACAAGTATCAAACAACAACAAAGGAGATTAATGTTCGTAATAATTACAGGATGAATTAACATAGCGTTCAAAATCCTGGATTTCAGGCAGACAAGATCAATATAAGACGTCGTACAGTTTTTAGGTTTCAGTTATCACACTTTACAGCGCCATGCAAAGAACAACTGAGTTGAAAAGGAGTGACAGTGAAGTAGGGGAAAGGGAATGATAGGAGTAGGGATTTGACACTCAAAGTTGATGGGTATATTCAAACTTTAGACGATGTCAAAAAGTGACTACATCTGTACCATTGTGACTGGTGTCCATCTATGCGACAAAGGGTTTCCAACCATTGATCCCTATCATCTCGACAACCCCCAACCAAGCAGTGTACACTTTTCTACACCAACAGTCAGAGACTTTATGCATTGGTGTCAGTCTTGATCTTGCAACGAAATGCGCATCCTGGATTCCACTGCTAACCACTATCCATCATTGATCTTCCAATCCAATCCTACTTCGACTAGCGTTGCATGTTGTGGTAAACAAGCGTTCCAATCACTGGTGGCTAGTCGGGCCATTGTAGTGAACAAGCCTGTCCACTATGTCAAGGTAGCAACTATCGGTCGGCGATTTTTCCCTGAGTTCCTACCATACTGAAAAGGTCTATTAGGTGATGGTGAGACTAAAAGGACTTGGCAACGTAGTGTAAAGAAATTTTGGTTATGATAGGGCTCCTAAGGTGGAGTCGTACTGCTGACTGTGGGGTGTTTGACATAATTAGAGATTTACGCTAGTTACTAGCATTTGACACTGATGCTACCTTCCGTCACCATACGAAAAACTTGACTGTGAAAATATCACACTTTTTTCCTGCAAACTTGCTGAATTAGCCATAATTTATTTCCTCACATACGGACGTAGCTCAGTCAAAATCAAAATCCTCTATAAAGTCCATATGTCCGGCCTCGAGCGCAAGTTACTTAGGTTCTGTGGTCATGCATCCAGAGAGATGTGACCACGCTTACTTATCCACTTCTGTGTCTTGGTATGTTAAGGAGAAGTATCCTTCCACAGTATAATAGGGAATTGCTGGCTTCTAATCTTTCTTCAAAACTCTTTGTTGAATTTGCTACGTCATCTAGAGTTTTTAACTGTTCTGTAGTTTATGATGATGGTTTGAGTTAACGAATTATGATTTTTGTTCTCATGAAACCTTCCTCAAAACTGTCTGTCAGGGCTTCCGATGTCCATACACTTCGTCAAATCGAACAACAAACTTCGATTTTCAAAAGTAGCTTTCAGTCTATGAGAATATATTGTGCTTGTGAGGCACACTTTACAGGACCTGGGTGTGTCTATTTATCTAACCTAAACCTAGTCTATGTCATGAATCTGTAAAATTCACTCTTTGAAAGTCTGGAGATTACCTACCTGTCTAGTTCTCATGGTTTTGAAAGCATAGCTATTGCATTATACCTTGACGCAAAAGGCGTACTGTTGAACTAGATCCCAGTCGAGAGTCGTTGTTTGACTGAGTCGTGCATTGGGGACTAAAACGAATTGTAGTAATGGCGTTTACCTCTTCGTAGTCTCCGCTTAAGCACCCATTGATTGCGGTTCGCATGAAGTGAAATTTGAGTTCTGACGAAAACTATCTAGTCTGAAAGGCAAACGTTTCGATGTGGTTGTCACTGCAGATTATTTCAATGGATAAGTGTCCACTAAGCCAGGCAGAAAGGCACTTTCGGAATCCCAGTTGAACAAACAGATGACGACGATTGCCTGCTATAACTGTGCTCAAATAGGCACCTTTTCCTAACCAGCATGAACTTCAGGCATAGAGGGAGAGAGACAGTATTCGGAACAGATGTTTGGGTAGTGAACGGGGACCGATTAAATCGCGTATATGTTCTTGCCTAAACTAACATTGGATGTCTACGGCTAGTAAAACGTTCTGAGTGCAGCTGAACTATGTGAATGGTAAGGTTACTCTAATAGTGAAATGTGTTGATGTCAGTTATCCGATAGAAACCTGACGCCATTTCCAGTCTGCTGCATGGATAGCTTTAAAAACCTAACCGATCCTGTGATAGGGATTAGTGAGGTCGGTGGATCTCACCAGCTCCTTCTGAACTAATGGTTTCATGTGAACGTATTGCTTCAGGCTCCAGTATAATGAGGAGCGAAAGAAACTCAGATGTAAGCTGACAAAGAGTTTACACAATAACTATGAGCATTGGTTGATAACAAAGGCTTAAGAGATTGAATAGATAGCAGAGGCAAGCAGTAGCAGATATATGTGCAGATTTTTTGGGGAAAATATAGAAAAAGTGGGACTGTATTCGAGAAAAGTTACAAGGCACCTCACTCGCAGAGAAGACTACAAAGTTACGTAGGACGCTAAGAAACGGTTCAACTAACCTCCAGCTTGTCTTGAGTTACCCTTCATCTAGTCGGATCCTAAAGTGAACCTTCACACAGGGCCCCTAACTTCCGCAGCAGTTGAGAAGGCTGCAAACAACCTAAAATGGTAGAGGGTAGTGATTCCTGATTGGTTTGTATTAAATATATATAAGGACAGTGACCGGGGACTTGCGTAGACTGATTGAAGTGTTCGATGGCGACTGAAAACTAGATATATCTCGCTCTGACTGATCTCAGTCGCCGATTGTTCCAGTCTCCAAAAAGGATATAATTTCCCCTGTTGTCAACACATGGGAAACAGTCCGACGAACGTAGGGTCTCAGATCCTAAGTCCTCTAATCATTATATACTCATTAACGGCAAAACCAAGCAGGTTTCAGACCTGGCCATGAGTGCTGACACCAGATCATCATCCACAGATACTGAAACATAAATGCACTTTCCAGCGTCCGAAATTAGCTGTTTTTCTTGGTCTTGAGGTGAAATCCGACTCTTTCTGTTGATAAATAAAAGGAGGTTAGGATAGCTATTCAAAATCAGGGAGACGATAATAAAATAATATATCTGCACCATTGTGATTGATTTCTGACCATGTCACCAAGATTTGCCATTCATGTGTTTATAATTTGTCTTCACATTATTTTATTGAAACAGAAGTCTGTGTTATTCACACGGGTAATAGTTTAACTTTACTGTTAATAGGCAGTGGCCATGATCAAATTGTAGTCGATAAGACAATGTTCAAAGATACTTAGGTGAAACGGATAAGAATGTATATATACAGAAGTCTCGGTGTTCTACGACTGTTGCCTTTGTAGTGTTGGCCACGTGTCATGTAACCCCCATATGGGAATGTATGGGATACCCGTAGTCTAAGGTAGTAGAAGAGAGGAAGTCGATTAGGTCGTGAACCTTCATCGACTTAGGAGCTTAGGCTATGTTCTACCCAAGTCCGGTAACCGTTTACCCGTATCAGCAGTGTTAGCTGAAGTGGGTTTCGTCTAGAAAAAGATTAGGGTTAAACAAAATAAAACGGGGTCAGTCCATGAAGTCATCAACTGCTGGTATGAGTCGTCTTGGAAATCTCAGGCTTTCATGTTAGGGTCTACTAGACAGATAAAAGAGCTATGGTTGGAGATTCTAGGTGATGTAACAAAGAATCGCTTGCAGTGGCGTATATGAATCCGAAAGTTATCTCCATACCCATCGTTATATCTCATTTCGCTATTTGTTTTACTCGCTCTTCCTTTCATTTTATCACTTGCTGCAATCCTTGACTACCTTATTTCCATTTCTCTGTCTTACATCTTGTTGTGGTGATGTTAGTTATGGAAACTTAGACTCCTACATAGTCATGTCAGATCTCATGGCATTTACAAAAATATTTAAGAAAAAAGTAGAAGTAGACGTTTTATCATTCTTACAATAGGATGGGGATATTCTTATAATTCATGTATAGCAATAGGAAAACGTCGAGTGCTTGAGTTTCACTTTATTATTCTTATCGAGATCAAAATACATAAGAACCTAACGTCACTTCAGTCTAGAAACATAAATTATACCTGTTCACAACGGATGAACTAAGAAATGCTTGAGCTATTTAACTCGAATTATACTGCCTTGTTGTTTTTTTATTACTGATATAGGCAACAAGTGAATAACGTCAGTTGGTCAATATCAACGGGTATGGTTTCAATGTTTTTGCTTGAATGGACATTAAAACTTTACCCATCTCACAAGAAGTGGCTGTCATGACTTGGTGGTCTAGTGGATAACGTTCTGTCGTTTCAGGGGTCGGTCCTGGGTTCAAGTGCTAGTGGGAACAACATTGCTCATTAGGAGGCAGACATGTTCTGCTGACGAGTCCCAAATAAGATGAAACTCATGTCTTGAATTCCACTGCTAGCCACTATCCATCATTAGTATAGTATGCTAAAAAATGTGTTTATAATCATAAAGAAAAGAAATAAGGGTTCTATACGATGAACTTATTATTTGTGTTTACTTGAAGGAAAATACAAAACAAACAAATTATTTTGACATATTTGTTACTGTATGTGATTTGTTGTTTGTTGTTTGCTTATTGGTATGTTGCTTTGCATAAGCTGTACTTCTAGGAATATTGCTGACTTGTATCTCAGGTTTTTTTATTTTCTCTGTAAAGAAATATAACATGTTGGTTTATATAATTACACAATAATGGAAATCATTACAAATCAGCTGGTAATTAATAACCACCAATGCTACATTTTAGTTCTTGGTAACATCATGGCATCTCATTACCATTAGGCTACTTGATTTAGCATCATGGTGGAATGTATTCCTTAGATATCTGACTATATTGAGTAGTTTAGATGAAGTATGCTAAGAAATCGAAAGTTTCAATCATCAAGTTAACCAGTATCGATGTATGAAGAATATATAGACATATAGTCGTTGACATGAACTACCACTTCATCATCAAGTATTTACATCTTCAGGAATATCTTGAATAGCTGAGTCTCTTGAGGTCTTCAGGTTATGAGTTTATAGAATCTAGACTGTTATGTTTTAGTTATAGAACTTCTAAATTATTTATAGATGAAAGGAGAATGATTTCATTATGTTATCTATCATAAACACATTCACTTAAAAGAAGTAGAAAATCTAGCCAATAAAACTTGGTAAAAACTCGAAATCATTATAGGATGTTGAGGGATTTCGTGATGGAACACTTTTTCTTCATATCATTTTGCAAAACTATTGAAAACCCAAGAGATTTGTACAACTGTTTCATCCTAGTCTATTACTTCTCATAATATGCATGCATAATCTTAAATTTCAAAGAATTTGCTTACCTCATTCATCTGTATTATCTCTACAACAGTTTTTTTCCAAATATGAGAGAAAATTTGTTTTCGGTAGCGTAATATCAAAAAAATCTAACGGATGAAGTGGGTATGTTTATCTTCAATAATATGATTCTTTGAAGTAATATCAAAACCAGTTATATCTGCAGTAGTTGTTTCCTAAGGAAAATCGCCATTGTTTAACTGATTAGTGAGTATAAAGATCCGCTGTTCAGTATCGGATTATATGACTGATGTGTTAGCAGAAAGCAATGGACCTAGCTTTCTCACTCGTTGATACTCTTCAGCAAGGCGTGTCTGCCACCTAGACGGAACTGATTTCTCGCCTGCAGTTGGAACCCGCGTAACCCAGCGTTATAGCCAGCCACCTTACCACTGGGTTTTTTGGGCCGCGGCTCACCTCCTGTTTGACTGGCTTACATACATTGATTAATCATGCGAGAGCAACCGATTTCATGCTGTCTACTCCTGAGTGCAGACCGAATCCTGTCGATCATATTTACAATATGGCCACCAAGCAAGGGGCTGAAGACCGCGATACACTTTGGTAGATGTTAGATAGTTGGAGGCAATCGACAGGAAGCCGTGAACCTAAGCTTCTTGCTTGTTGGCACTCACCAGCGAGGTGCATCTGCAATATCTACGGAACTGATGTCCCGCCTTATTAGATTCAAACGCAGGTCACTCAGTGCTGCAGTCAGAGATGTTACTATTGAGCTATTTGCGGGTTCGAATCTCAGGAGGGGCATCAGTTCCGTAGAGATTGCAAATACGACTTGCTGACGAGTGCCAACAAGCACAAAACCTAGGTTCAGGGCTTCCTGCTGTTTGCCTGCACCCAACTAACATTAATCGAAGTGCATCCTGATTTTGAGTCAACTTTCCTGGTGGTCACATTGCAAAATAATGGATAGAATTCGGATAGCACTTAGGACTAGACAACATGCCGTTGGTTACCCTCCAGCAACCAGTTAATATGATGTACTAGTCTTTGATGTTCATACATGTTTAAAAGGAATTCGTAGACTTCTTGTACTGTATTGAAGAAGAAAAATAAGGAAGGAACATTATTTGTATACAGAATTTTCATAGTATATCTTCAGCGCCGGTTATAAAGTTGATATGTAATATATGTTCTCATCCGATTAACCTTACTATTTAAATAAATTTAAAAAATAACTACATCATATGGTAAAGTAGCTAATATATAGGTAAAGCGATTTACTTCTATTCTGTAAACAGATGCTTAGCTCTACAGTGGCTGTAGTGTTTGTACGTCTCAACAGCGAGTCTGTTAGGAAATATTCAACTTTCCAGGTCTTTGAATTTATGCCTAGTTCTCTCGTTATTAACTCTACTGTCAAATATACTGAGGTATTTACAAACATAAAATCATGACACTAGACATGGTTGGTATTTTGTATAAACCACAGCGTGTTTGAAATGAAAGAATTCCAACGTCCCGCACTGAAGTCTGATTCGAGCTTCTTCAGGGAAATAAAAACCTTATTTTCTATAGTGTTTTGTTTTACATCTAGTTGGCCGTCATAGATTTCGTCATTGTTTCTACTTCTCGTAATAGAGGAGATAACTGCTTCCGTTTGCTTGTTGACTATCTGGTCATCGAAGTAATGTTTTGATAAGATGAAAAGTTGGATTTTGGAGAAGTAAATTCAACTCACTTATCGGTATATTAACTGTCTGACCAGGAATATTCAGTCTTGGTAATCTCGAGGAATGTTGACCAGAGCAGATACGAACTCTTTTTACACGAGTTTGTTCTGGATTAGATGGACTAAAGTCTGCAATGAAAAGAAATATCACAGATAATAACTGAAAAGTACTATGCAGATTGATAACTCAAGTATAGTCATGATAATCAGTGTGGGGGATCCCTTACCTCTCTAATTCACTCAGATTTGGATTGGAATGGGAAGTCCTTACTAGGCAGATAGTGTGGTTACGATCAAGCGACAGTAACGCGTCATGAATTCACATGGTAGTCGGGCGAAACCTTCGGTGATTGAAGTGAAATAAAAATCTGGTCTATAGTCAGACCTCGTAGATGAGTAGGTAGAGCGTCGGGCTGGAAACCCAGTGGTCGCTAGTTGGAATCCGGCTGTGGTTCAAATCTCTACTTCACCTTCAATTAGAATATTAACTTAAAAATAATTATTTCTGTGTAGTAAAGATAATCTGTAATTATTGTCAGATATGATTTATCTGAACTGGATTGTCATATGGACCACATATTTTGAAGAAAGCTTTAATCCAGAATTGAAACTAGCTGAAAAATCTATTAAAAACTAAGAGTAGCTGTTTCATTGCATTTTGAAACTTTTAAGTACCAGTACGAAATTTTCGCATTCAAGCGAATTAAAGTATAAACTTTCAGATTTTCAGTTCACAAATGATTTGAGTTTTCATCCTTTTCATTTCCTGCTTTCACACAACTTTCTGTATAGCAGTTTTCTCAAGTTTCACATCTCGATACTTACATTACTCTCTAATTCACTAACTACATAGGTAAAAGTGTACTGCTGAACATTTAGAAGCTCTTTCTTTGAAACGAATTATTATCTGGTAATGATCTGAATGTTGTAGGTTTAATATTTTAAGAGATTGATCGCATGCTCATCTGTACTGCACAGGTTTCGGAATCAAAGAAGAGAATTTGTAGTAGATATTCAATATAGCATTCGTAGATAATATTTAGCATTGAACTGATGATTTAATTTTTGTTCAATTGTACTGACATAGAATATTCCAACTACTTTCTGCTGGTTTTGAATTTGTTGGTTTATTGTCATTTCAGTAACCGAGTTTATACTTCACTTAGTCTCCTGTTTTCGCTCTGTTTGATGCAGGCAAATCACTAGAGTTTTGGATAATAAGAAAAGTGACTGTATTTTGGGAGCTTCCTCTGAAGATTGGAATCAGATATGGACTCAAAAACAGGTAAACCCGATGTGATCAGATCCTTTTCTATCATCGGTAACTGGAACTGACTACATCAGTACTTTTTGATGTTTAGTGGGTCTTCAACTCATGTGAAGGAAACTTCGAAGGTTTTATCAAAAGCAGCCAAATTTCATGAGTTTTCTGAGTGTTCTGTTACAGAGGTAAAAATATTTACGTTTTCCGATTGTCAGGGAAGTTGGATCATGTTCGCAAGCGCGTGGCATTAGTCGCTGCATAGTAAGGCTGATATACTCGCCTCCACAGAAGCAGGTAAACGGATATAAACACACAGATGTGGCCTAATGCTCCAGCTTATCCTTTGCATACTGACGAATAGGTTTTTAACAGGAAAAAGCGATTCTTAGATTGGTGACAAGCAATGATCTGTTTACGGGTCTCGATGTTCTGTTTCAAAGTATATCTGCACTATTGTCTCCCTTGAATCCGAGGTGAACTAGAAAAATTACGAGAAATCCTGATTAGAAATGGATACTTATGGAAATGTATACATAAAAATCTGAAGCCGAAAAAAATCACCACAGAACGCGTGCATACTGAACCGAAGAAGTTGTCATTGTTGAACTAAGTTAGTTCATTTTAATAGCGTAATTAAAAGACGAAGTTTATCTGAACAATGTATGATGTATTTGCGTAATACATTTCGAACAATCTGATCCACCACTCAATTACTTGTCGAGTCAATATATATTAAACCGAGGAGTGGGAGGACAAATACAACAAGTAACACAATAGGAGATTAAAATTAAGAAAGATGAGAAAAGACAGGAAGTGACCTAGTTGATCCTAATCTTGGTAGGAAAACAAAGTTTACCAAGGTAGGTAGGTGTAGTGTAAAAACAAAATGTTTTTGTACACGTAAAGGTGGTTTAAATTTGTGTATGACTATGGCTTCAGCAAGTTTCAGTATACGTCCCTGACTGTTTCTATATGAAACTTTTAAATTTGTTTGAACATTAATTTTGTGACCTGTTTTTATGACATATTTAGCTATAGGTGAAGACGGTCGTTTCCCACCAGCGTTTGTCCCGGTTTCATACTCTATTTGCCTTTGAAGTCATCCTCAACTGCATAGCTTGATTACCACTCCTAATGTATGTTACCAGACACATATGTAAATTGGTAAACAGAAAGGGATGTGACGCAATCAGTGATGTGGTGTGTGTTTTGTTCTTCCCACAATGATAAGATTAGCTGCGTAATATGTTTTCTTAATTGCTGATGTTAACCTACTACTCAAAATGATACTATTCAACTCTCCTCTGTATGGTAGAGTAATATAGCCGCTTTTGTTGGGGACTGTGTATAGAGTTGGCTTCGATTCTACTTGACCTTTACAACTGTTTACAAATTTCAACGGATATCCGTTTTTATAGGTTTTCGGTCAGTAATTTGATATTTCCATCCATCCTATCTGGTGTACTGATACGATAGATCCTATTAAACAGGTATTTTATTGGACCTCGCTTGTATTAGGTTAGAAAAAACTGTAGCTAACCACATCATAGAAACAGGTCACAAAATTAATGTTCAAACAAATTTAAAAGTTTCATATAGAAACAGTCAGGGACGTATACTGAAACTTGCTGAAGCCATAGTCATACACAAATTTAAACCACCTTTACGTGTACAAAAACATTTTGTTTTTACACTACACCTACCTACCTTGGTAAACTTTGTTTTCCTACCAAGATTAGGATCAACTAGGTCACTTCCTGTCTTTTCTCATCTTTCTTAATTTTAATCTCCTATTGTGTTACTTGTTGTATTTGTCCTCCCACTCCTCGGTTTAATATATATTGACTCGACAAGTAATTGAGTGGTGGATCAGATTGTTCGAAATGTATTACGCAAATACATCATACATTGTTCAGATAAACTTCGTCTTCTAATTACGCTATCGAAATTCATAAAATGGACTAACTGTTTCAAATTCATTTTATTCTGAATTCTGCAATAAGAACAAGCTTTGATGTATGCATTTTATTGCGTTGCATTCTCTCTGACTGCTTATGTGCCATCAATAACCAATTCATTAAACGAATAAAGATTAGCACACTACTTAAATTGAAATGCATAATTCATTAGATGGCAGTATGAATGATTAAAGTTTGAGATTGGAAACAAACAGTTAAACACTGGAAAGTTATATATGTAAAGTTGGAACGATAATTTTGAAACGAATATGTTAATTAGTCACATGAATTAGCAAACAAATAATCATGAGAAAAACATAAAACAGTGAAAAGATGCATTTATTTGAGTGAAGATCAGCCAAATGTAATCGTGATCAGCTGTTTTACTCCGGGCTTACACTTCAATCTTTTCTAGGAACCTCTAATCTTGTTCTTAATGGGCTATTCAGAATAAAATGAATTTAATTTGCAACCCTCCTATCCTATTAAATATATTTATGGATCTGTGGCTCACTGGTTTAAGGAGTTGACTTCTAATCAGTGGGTTACAGGTTCACGCAGAACTTTATGAATCCAGATTTGGGGATTCAGATACAAAATAGGTGTGTCCTATTGTCTACTGCACAAGGCTTCTGAGTGGATTTCCATTCGATAACAAACAGAAAACAAGGAAAGTCAAATTAGATGAAGCTAAAATTACATGTAATATGTTTCAGAGGTGATTCGCTTTCATTATACAAAAGCTCCTATCATGTATCATGGGCAAGCTGATACAGTAGAAAGAACTCAGTTCAGCCTAAGCCTAAAATATTTGCCTATTGAATAACCATAGGATAATTTCATTCCTCTGTTTTTGGTATATAAAATAACATCTGAAAATATATAGTTTGTGTTGATCCTTTTTAAATGTAAAGTTAAATGAAAATTTGGACAATGGTCGGATTCCAAAGAGCGAAAACCGGTTTTCCGGCCCGATGCTCTACCAACTGAACTGAGAACCAAGGAGCTCTGAACAGCTGCCTCATCCCAGTATGAGACTGTTCAGCAGCGGGTACCCATGAATCCGCCAGAGATCGGACCCAGGACTTATAGGATTTACGGTCAGCATGTTACCATTGAGCTATTGGGTCCAAATTTACTTACTTTTGTCAATTGGCGATACAGGGCCTTTTTCACTCAATTCCGTTAGAGAGTATTCGTCTTCACACTCGACTTAGTTCGCCTGATAGGTCACAGTTTCTCATTTGAACTTTCAGAAATCCATCTGAAAGAGTGTCACTAATGAGCTCAGGACTAATTCAGTTTGGAGGTGTTTGAGTATTTAATGATTTCAAGATGGTATTCATTAAGGTCACAATATAACATGAACTGACAAAAGTAGAAAAGTGTAGATCATTGGATTACAAACCAATGGTTCAACGGTAAAGTGCCGGCTGCGGAACGTGAAGGTGCTGGGTTCGACCCATGGTGGGGTCATGGTTGCATGCTGCTGAGGAGTCCTTTACCAGGACGAGACAGCTATCCAATGTGTTGAGGTTTCCACTGATTCCCCGACTGATGTCAGTTGATGATGATTATCAACTTTAAATTAGTGAATCCCCACAAACCTCCATATGTGAAGTATTTACTGTGTGATTACTGGTCAATATAGTTGCGAGTAAAGTGCGGTGTGTACATATTAGTACTTGAAAATTTCTCTGTTGATCTTACTAGCAATAGTTATACAATACTATGGTTGTTTATCTTACGCTACAAATACTGCCTATCATATACTTCTGGATGAAAATCTAATCAGCAACTGAACTAACAGAGACAGAATCTCGTTTGCGAAAAGTATTCGCTATGAAGAAATAATGCTATTTCTATTGAATAGGTGAATTTCTGATGCACTGATGATGATATCTAGCATGACACTGAAACGTTTTCCAGCTAAAACCCTAGTTTATAGAACAACTCACTATGAATATCTAGACTTCCTGAACTATAAATATTCTCCATAGTTCCTATTCACAGTGTGTGGCAGGGTTGGTAAAAAAAAATAGGAGATTACCCATAATGACTTATGTAGCTGAAATCACAGTTTTTTAAACCTGTAGTATGAGGATCCAGTTCTATGAAAAATATTTATTTACACTTTCAGAAGTTCTTCTACACGATAGATAAGTAAAGTGTTGTGAAGAGATTTGTTTACATTTCAAATTGGTTCTGATGATATGTGAAATTTTCTTAAAAAGGCTTCTGATTATCGATTTTTAGCATCAAAATTTCATTAAGGTTGTGTAAATGATACAGTCTGATGCACAATTTCTGACAGTTTTCAATTTCCATTTGTGAACCTCTATGTAATTAAACTTTGAATATTTAATTAATTATTCAGCTGGTTTAAACATTTGGTGATTTCGTTTTTCATCAATACTTTTTTTAAAGAGGTCATTTCAAGCTGAGAGATCAGCAATGCTTTTTGCCAACAAAGAAAATTGAGAAGTAAATAATTTTAGGACGATCAGAGAAGAAATCATCTTGATGGTGTTGTGTTCTCTGAGCTAGACTGTTTAATCATAGAGCTTTCGTTATCATTCTAGACAACGTCACATCATAAAGCATCAGAGAGAAGTGAGCGATAAGGTTTTCTTCACATTTTATTTAGTACATCGTCCTGATGACTTTGTGTGTGATTGTTTGTTTCTATCAAGGTTTGGTTGCTATTCCCATGTTTATTTTGATTGGCTGTCCTGATGACTTGAGATTTGACCTTCTTACTGTTTCTTATTGGTTGATAGATTGGATTAATATCAATACAACTGTTGATTACTAACTGAAATGAATATCAAACTTCTAAAAATCCTGTGACATTCTTTGAATTTCCTCAATCCAGGATTTGCACATTTTCCCAGTCAAATCCGTGTCCACAGTTCTCCGTATGCATTGATATGACTGAAGATATGTCATGACGCTTTACTGCTAGTTGAAGTTTATGTAGACGGATGCGAAGAGGATGACCACACCAATGTAGTGTTTTCCGCAGTCCCTGTAGTTTATCAAGGAGATAATTTTTGGTTTGTCTTCCTTTGCTATTGTATCTTTTGGCCTGCAGACTGTAGAAATTTTATGAGCTTGTGAGATATAACGATTCTGAAGGGCTTCAATAATCTGGTTTTGATCTTAGTGACATTCTTCATGTAGAGTATCCGTCTACATGAACATCAACTAGCAGTGAGGCGTTATGATATGTCTTCACTCATATCAATGCATACGGACGACTGTGGACATGGATTTGACCGGGAAAATGTGGACGGTTTGAGTGGCCTTAGATCGGTGTCTATTAGATGTATTCAAGCTCCGAAGCTTAGTGTATTAAAAAAAACTTGTACCACTGAATAGCTTATAGATTGTTACAACTGGATACTAGCTTTCGAAGAAGGTAGGATTTCTTGGATTAGAAGGGTAGAGAGGAATTCTAAGGTTAAAGAGGCTATGGTATAAGGAAAGACTTTTTGCATCTACGTGGTGTATGCCTGACCTTCCGCGGCGGGAATTGACATGGTTTGACATGTGCTACGATGATTTTAGCCATGATAAGAACATTCATCTGTCACGACACTACCATTAGTCACCTAACTACTCATACTCATTAGCTTATCAACCAAATTAACCGCAAACTTTGATGTCTTTCGACTGCTTTGAGGTGATGTGAGGTTGAAGAACTAGAAAATGATTCCCTACGGTTAACAGTCACTGTGACTCACTGGTTTAGGGAGTTGCCTTTCAATCAATGGATCATAGATCCCAGCATCGCTCCACTAACTGAGGTTTGGAGAGTTGGGTAGTAGCATTTCCCCCCATACAACACGTGTGGCTAATTGTCTACTCCACGAATTTGCAAAAGGTTGCTGACCGCTTTCCAAACAGTCATTTCGGTTTAAGAGTCTAATTAGTATTACTGATGGGTGAATTAAAAATGCAAACAGATCAGATTAAGATTATTTTCAAAAAAACAAAAACAAAATATACCTTGATCTCGTCTGTTGTGTAGGCTGTATTTTGGACACTCATTAACACGATAATCTTCATTATAAGGATTTTTAAAATGAGTTCTTTGACCAGTAGGATGTAGTGGACACTGCGTTGGTGATTGAGCCAGTTTCCTGTAGGATTGAATAAACTTCATCATGAGAACACATCTAATCAACACAAAAATCTGTTTTTTATTCCTTATCTTCATGGATCTGTGTGTATGGATATACATTTTATATAAATTACGGTCTCATTTTTGAGTTGATTCCTTCAGTGTCATTTAAAAACCTTCCATTCTGAAAGTTACTTAACTTGGAAGCTAACATTTAAAACACATTTCCTATACTGGAGAAAAATGAAATTTCTTGAGGCTGAGAAAGGGGGAAAAGAATTACTGACATGGCATTAGAGGAACTGAGGAGTTCAGCGAAAATATCTTTTACTGCGATTTCATTCTCCATAGCTGTACAATTGCAATTTATACATTTTTGTTTAACTATACTGGATAGTTACAAGAATTATTTAATTAAATTTAGTAAGAAAGATCAAGTTGAAATGAGGTTAAGAATTCATAAATATGATGCAAGGTGAGAAGTAATCCCAAAAGAACATAGGAACCAACATAATTAACCGGTGAGAATGTAAAGCAGCACAATATGTAAAAATAATTTTCAAGATAAAGCGTGATCAAGGGGAGTATGGAAACAAAACTGCTATTATTAGAAAGATCATATGAAGTAACACCGGAAAATATTAAATATAAAAATAATAGTGCTGATAATGATGATATGAGAGTACAAAGATTAATCTAACAAAAGGGGAAGTTGAAAAAATAAAAAAAGAAATTAGCACACCAAGACTAAAGTAAGTTAACGCCAAGGTAGAGATAAAGACTATACATACTTCGTTTGAACACAAGCATCAGGCTTCAGTTCATGGATAGTCAAAGCTTCTGTTGTTTTTAGAAGTTGAAGACGGAGGAAAAGTGAGATTTTTGAGCGTTAAAAGTTCTATCCTTGAACATCTAATCTATTTCAACCATTTAAACGATCCAAATAATTATTATAAGGTTGTCTATCGAAATCGCTCAAACAGCTCACGTTTCCTCCGTCTTCAACTTCTAAAAATAACAGAGCCTATGACTATCCATAAACTGAAAACTGACATTTGTGTGCTAACGAAGTATGTACAGTCTTTGTATCTATCTACCTGGGTGTGCTTAGTTCCTTTTTCTTTTTTTCAACTTCCCCCTTATGTCAGATTAATCTTTGTACTCTTATATAATCATTATCAGTACTATTTTTTTTCGATAACGCTATTAGAAGACGAAGATTATCTGAAAAATGTGATGTATTTGGTCAATACATTTCGAACAATCTGATCACACATTTACTTGTCAAGTCAATTTATATATGAAAATTAAAGGTCAAATATAGTGAATATGAAAAGGTTGTGACACTAGTCTTGGTAACATAATCAGATAAGGGTTACCAAGGTAAATTAAGTGAAACAACAAACTGTTTTTGTACACATAGCGGGGGATTAAGTTTACGAATGGCTAACGCTTCGGCAAACTTCAGTATACGCCCCTGATTATTCCTGTATATTATCTTAAACGCTGTTTTCGTATTAACCCTGTGATTCATTTCAATAATATGTTTTGCTATAGATGACGATGGATGTCTGTCACCTGCACTTATCAAAGTTTGTGTGTTAAACTGTTTTTCTAGCCATTTGGGGATGTGTTCACCCACCCTAGTCTGCATTTAATTCAAATATTTCTTAAAATATAACAAAATTGTAAATCATATGAAGCAAAGATAGAGGTAGGTGTATTGTTTTCAGTCTACTAAGTTCAGGGTATCAACAAAGGTTGAAAAAGTTTCTTTTATACACGTATTCACAGTTTCTCCATTCATATAACAACAGCTTCTACAGTACAGAAAAGGCGGAAATGCACCATTTTCGGCAATTTTCTCTTCACCTTGTAAATGACTTTGATAGCTAAATCAGTTTTGATTGATGGTATGACCATGTCGACAAATGTTTTCAATTATTGAACTTCTGATCTATTCACTCACATCTCTTTCTGCAGCCAACGAGGGTAATATTCTCTAATCCGTTTGGAAAGAAGAATTACGAAGTACCCACATACCTGGGTCCATATGAGCAGGTGAATCGATAAACATACATCGAAGTGGTTATATGCAGAAGCTTATCCTTTTGGGTTTTCAGGAAACATTAGATAATTAGAAAATAAAATTCTCAAGGTTGACGTGAAGGAAGTTTGCTTTAGCCAGTTTGAATTTCTTTTTTTCAAATATTAGCAGTGAAGTCAACTTTTAAGTCAATATTCATGTATAATATTTTCTTTGGAAATGAAATGGCTATCTCATTTTATGGCTTAGGTCTTATGTCTTGTCAACAAATCGTGCTGGATATCAATTTTCAGCCAGAATCTGTTTGAGGAAAGTGAGTTCTTCTTCTAAGCTTTTAATAATGCAGATTTTTCTAGGAACACGATAAGTGCCCTTTTTTGTCTTATAGAGGTACCCAACCGTAGAAGCTTATCAACTGAATATTCCATACATGTTTCATGTAGATCGACCTCCTCAATATCCCATCATCTCGTCTGGTATGAATTTAATTGAGGGGTAGCAACTGTTAAATACTTGTAGAACTTAGTTAGTCATCATGGTAAATTATGAAGATATCATCAACATAACTTTTGTATACCAAAATATTGTCAATTAAAAAATGTTAACAAAACCATTTAACTCAATGATTAAATGTTTATAAAAATAAATAATACCAAATAAAATCATCTCTATTCTTTATCTTCCTCCTATCTTCTGTTCTACTGCTTTGTACATGTATAACTGTTGGAGATTTCACAGTTAAGTTCAGTGGTGATCATATCTGATATGAATGTATGAATTAGTGAAATTCAAAATAAATTTTCAGCTGAATTCATACTCTTCTTTGCTGGTCATTACTCAAGCAAGATATGATATATGGTTTAGGGACTGAAGTCTCTATAATATATTATGTTGATTTTTGTACGGTACTGATACACACTAGATAATAATAGTATTTACTGTAAAGCAAATAATATAACAGTCATCTACACTATACAGTATTTTTTTCTAAGTGATCCAAAGATAGCTTTTAAGTAGCATTTTCAAAAACTTGGCGCTTCATCTCAGTTGATTTCTTCAGTTTACTCTACCCAATATACTTATCTATATTTCAAACTTGAACATTTACATTTCATTACATTTTTGATCAACAATGAATATGCAATATCTTATGTCATTCAACCACAGGATTTAAGTGTTACGTAAAGAAAGTCATTTTAATTGAACAGTGTACTACAATACAGCTATCTAAAAGCTTATTACCTTTTTCAAGTTGTAATATATACGAGATAATGCGGGCAAGTGAAATATCATTACTCAATATAGGCTGGTTAGTTTGTTTGTCCTAACTACAAGTGAGGAATCGGTTAGAAGTTTCATTATTTTTGATAACAGTCATTGGTGATTTACTTGTTAACTATTTCTTTCTTGATTTCTGTTAATGCCTAAAACGTATGAGAATACTGGATAGACGTATCTCAGATTGACACAGCATTATAGTCTAAAAGCATATTTGTTTCATTCGGAAAAATGAGATGCGGTAAATGTCGATAAATTTATCCAGTTTGATGGATATTCGGGTAATGCATTGAATTTACACAGGCTGATTGTCTTTCAAGCAGTTTCAGTGATTTATCGTTCAACAAAATGAAAGCGTCTGTTCAACTGATAAAAGTATAGTTTATTTCATATGAAGTTAGTCATTATGAATGATTAATTTTACGCCTAATCGGGAATAAAACACTGTCCCTGAAATTCACAAAGACATTTGTATGACTAAAATAATTCCCATAAGAGTAGATTAAACGATTACTGCTATTATGAAATCATTAGATATACTTTTCATTGTGGTACAAAGAAATATCTAGGGTGAACAGAAAAAAAATATAAGTAAAATTATCATTTAGATTATTTGAGATAGTTATCTTAGAAGTCGTGACTAGGCAGCCAGTGTAAGTGAGATCAAGCTGTAGTACCGCGTTACGAATTCATATGGTAATCGGGCAAAACCCTCGATGATTGAAGTGAAATAAAAATCTGATCATCAGTCAGACCTCGTAGGTGAGTTAGTAAAGCATAGGGCTGAAAACCCAGTGGTTGCTAGTTAGAATCCAGCCACGGTTCAAATTTTCACTTTACCTTCAATCATCACTTAGTATAGGTAAAATTAAAGACTAACAGAAAGATGTAGTTTTGAAATATAGTTTTTATACTTTTTTACTTGTCACCTTAGTGTAGCGTCAATATATTGAAATCTGAGCTAATTAAGGTTTATTTGAACAGCCTTTTGAGTAAACTTCAAGCATTCCAATGCTTAGACTAGTTCGGTTAGTTTTGCACACAAAAGGTGGAATTCAGTGTTCAACAGAGAGTTACATAAGTTGATTTATGATTTTATAGATTAAACAGAAACCTGTTTTTGGGGAAAAATTGTTTGTTCCTTAAAAATAGAATAAAGATTTTTCTTTCCTTGTTCAAAACATCCAGGCTATAGTTGTTACAAATGTCCTGTTCTTTAAATGATTACACGCATAATGAAATCTATGAACTGTCTACTTTCAATCAAGTTAAACATGTAAGTTTGAAACGTTTTGAATGTTAAACAGTCAGTATATGTCTAATAGCGGTCTATATCATTTATATTAGCTGTATTAGGGAAAAACTAAAGCAGTTTGCATGAACTCTAATTATGGGATATTAGCAGACTGGAATGTCATCGAATCACATTTGGAAATTTTTTTCCAATAATTTAAAATATCAATAAGAGAATCTAATGGGAAATCTTAGCGATTAAAAATTCAACAGTACACTTTTATTGGCTTTATAAAGTCTGACCACAGTGTTGAAATATGAGCTATACAAAATAATTTGATTTCTCCAGCATTTCTAAGTCTCTTTTTTTGTATTTTATCAATTTCCTTCACATTAAAAATGTGAAAAAGTGATTCGCCTCAGTAATATCCTGATAATGAATGCATTGTAAGCTGAGGCGT